ACAAAATATTACATAGACCTAGTGTCAATTATCATTAACCTGGCATCTATTTCGCTCTAGGAAGTATCCTTATACAAAATTCTAGCGTTGATAATGATAAACTTTTGCTTTGAAAGTGAATAAGAGCGCTTAACCGCTTCCTTTGTCCTTTTCTTTCAGCACAAAGGGACAAAGTATTCAACGTAAAAAGTCAGTTACTATAGACATCCATTGATCAGTGGGCGGGAGACTAGCCGGCGAAAGCGAACGCTACATTTGTACTACGTAGTACAAGCTGGATGTTAATAATACAACTGAAAATGCACTTTACTCAAGCTGTATAAGGTTCAGTTTTGTTTAGATTCTATAAGCTGTTGCGATCAATTTGAACGTACTATTAGTAGTATACTCTACAAGTATATTGGGTATAAAAGCCCAAACTGACGGTATTCCTGGCGCTCAAAGATTAGGAGAATTTAAGAAAGGGAAAGTGATACCGTCGTATTGTGCAATCATATGATTTATAGTAAACAAAAATCTCGCGACTTTGTTCGGATTTGAAAACAATCTGATTTACGTAAATCAAATTAGTTTTAATGATTTTGTTTGACAAGATCTAATAATGAGACAATTTTAAACATTGTTAATATTAGTAGTGTTACAGAATGTTTAGTTTTCTTTGCAATATTTTATTTATAATATAAAAAGATAAGTTCAATTTAATAATCTTAGGGCATTTGTTTGTAGATTTTAGTTTATCTTGTTTACATGCCTCATTCTGAATTCCGTTAGGGATTCACTTTTATTTAGGTATTTTAGGATGAAGATGCAAAGATATTTCGTTCTTTCAGCAGAATTTCTGTGTATAATTAGTTTGAAAGCAATTAAAAGTCTAGATAGCTTTTGTTTGTGCAGGCAATAAGATTCCTTAAAATGCGGGAAATGTTCATTAATTGTATTATTTTAATAAAAAAAAAATGGTATTAGTGTGTATCAAATGTGTGTGTATGTTTTTGTTAAGAAGATTTTTTGTTTGTTTCGTATTAATACAAGTATTTTATGGCAACCAATTATCTGAACAGATTCATCAGTACTTTGTTTTACAAAGAGTTCCAGACTATTTGACCACTTGTATAAAGTGTATAGAATTAAAGGCCTCGTTTTGTTTACTATTGTACCCTTGTTTTGTTTCACAGTTTGTTATCTTTGTGACTGCGTTTAAACAATTAATTGGATTGTTAACTTTTTACAACCATAGAATATTTTCCGAGTCATATGTACTTTCTAAGATTATTTAGACATCAATGATTGGTGCATTACCAAAGAGGTTTGATGTCAGGCAGACGGCTCTCGTAAAAAATAATGAGCCAAAACTATTCACTAAATATAAGGCAGACCCCTGGCTAAAGCTGGGAAATTGCCAGGTATAAGAATAAGAATATTAAAATGGATTTTCTGATCAAAAAATATTTATAGTCTGTGTTCAAAAATATTTATACTCTGTGTCCGAACATATTTAGTTCAAACAGCCAACATGTTATATGTAAACTGTTTACTGTTGATCATCACGCTTCAAAGCTAGACGAGTGGCTGAATTAAAATAAACCTACCATAATAAGTAAAGCATTTATGCGGGAAACAGTACCGGAAATCAAACGCTGCCATATTGGATGTGGAAATGGTTCGCTCGTCGCTGGCAGTTATTCGATTTCGTCTAGGAACGTATTTTGTTTTGACGCGGAGGATCATTAAATTAAACGTCATTTATTGTCTGTGGTTCGATCGAATGGAAGGTAAAGTACGCGGGTATTCAATTGTACATTTTAAATGAACATCCAGTAACTGAGATATTAATTATGAAAAACATTAAATAACTATTCGATAATTATATATCTGTATATAAAAATGAATCCCTTTTTTCCTTGGTCACGGCATCACTCGTGAATGGCTGGATCGATTTCACTAATTCTTTTTTTGTTGTTTTTGTTATTCTTAGGACAAAGTTCTTATATAAGAAAAAAATACGAAAATTACTAAAAAAATACTAGAATGTTTCACTTTTTTTAACAGAATAATGTGTCACTGGCAGTAATATTCACGTAGCTTCCATTAAAACAAAGAAAAAAATTAAACAAATTAACTTTATTCAGACAAAATTATCTCTTGATTATAGGGCGATACGAAGGTCGCTGGGTCAGCTTACTAGCTGTACTACCATATATTTGTTATAGTAATGTTTTATATGGTAGAAGTTAGATATCAATTAAATATTATGGAACAAAGAGTTCATTGTCTTTGGAAATCGATGAGGGGATCACAGGCTTTGTGTCGTAGCTCGTTCATTGTAACGAAATGGTTTAATGATGGCTCAAGATCATCATCTTTTAATTTGTTCATTCACAAGAAAATGATGCTGCAATTATCTTTTCCTTTCTTAATTGCGTTAATATTTTCTTTATCTTTTTTTGGATACTATGAGTCAAATATTACATTAATTCATAATAGTACAGTTTTATAATCTAACGGCTTATATGGAATCTTACTTTTAATATAATAATGGTATGTAGATTTTTTATAAGACACATTTAATTTAAACTATGATTATTCGTTTATATTAAACGATTACGTATGTATATTATTTTATATTTTATCCGATGTTTTGCTTACTTTAAAGTTTAAAGGAATTGTGATTACGGATAAACGAAATGAAAGTGTCCGTCAGTTAGTCTTGTTATTAGTAATCTTGTCATTTAACGCAGACGATTTCTTAATTATCTCAAATACCTATTACTTCAGATGCACTCAGAATGTGCTAACTGCATTTTGAGGTTTGAAAATCATAGTTTCAAACGAATACTCGCGAAAACTTTATTATTAATTCGATATATAATTTTTAAATAATAAATTGAAATAACTAAGAATAATAATAGTATTAATTTCAGATATGATTTTATTCAACTTATGAGATTTTGTGACAGCTAAGAGTGGTTAGACCTTTTAAATATTATATTAGAAGCTGAGAGTAAGATATTCTATTTTATTAGGAAACCAGATAGAGATCCAAAATATCATTAACAATAAGATAAACAATGTAATAATAACTTTACAAACATTTCAAAAACATTAGCAAAAGTTCTTGTCAGGACCATCAGTTTAATTATTCCTCTGTAATAATCGTTAAGCATCTTAATATTTCGTATTGGTTCCTGTTAATGTAGAAATAGTTTTTGTAGATGATAATTTTTTTTAAGGAAACTGTACCTACCTACTAAACTGAGATACAGCGATTTTATAATTTAGACGTAAAACATAAAGAAATAGAATTGAAAACTTATGCCCGCCACACACGCTACGGTCTAACGAAGAAGTCAAATGAACAATGGTAGATTCCAAAAAACTGCACAGGTCTATTCCCACACACATTCCAGGTTACCTGCACATATGGACCTGCACAGGTGGATCTCTCCGGTAGACCGTAGCGTGTATGGCTGGCATTAGACTTAATGGTTGCGCACATGAGTCAGGGGTCTTCATCGACAAATTATTCAGTTCTTTCCGTCTGCAAAGTCATCGATCTCTAAATACATCACAGAATCATCTCTCGTTTTATGATTATTATGAATTTGAATTCAACAATACATATACGTACGTATTTGAAAGCGGAATCGTTTGCTATTGTAGTACTTTGCCGCGTACGTTTTGAATAGACCATAAATCGTCTTATTATCAGAATTTGCTTTTGAAAACTTCGTACGTGATTTTCGCATTTCATCCGAACAGAATTATTAGAATTTGAATGTGAGGTCGGGAAAGAAGATAATATTTTATTTAAACAAAGTTGAAGACTAAATTTTTTATTACAAGTCTGAGATCGTTTAATGATAAAAAATCATTTGGATATTTGAACTGTAAATATATTTATTTTTTCAAACAACTCGGTGAATACTCATAACCACTTCTTCTACCTGGCATTTTCCCAACTATAGCCAGCGTCTGCCTTACATGTTGTGAATAGTTTTGGCTATTTGTTTGGCTCTTTGGGAAGCAGCCTTAATCAGTGATGTCTAAATACTTTTATACATTACACATGACTCGGAAAAATCATACTGGTACTTTCTAGGGCCAGCATCGAACCCGCGCCCTCGGGCATGACAGGCGGGACTTTTAACCATTAGGCCACCACTGACTTGAATAATCATAACCACATTATTAATATTGTTGGTCGAATTCAGTTCTTCATTAATATTTTTAATCGTATTTGTTCAATTAATAATTGGATGTGCGATTTCAGTACTGCTGAAATTGTATTTTAAATAAGCAATCAAATATTACAAAACGTTTGTTCATTTCGATGCTTTCGTTTATATGGTGTGAATTTTTCGTCATCATTTTTTTCTTTTGACCCTTCATACAGGAGTTTGTTAGGGTCTATTGAATCCAATCCACGGTGATGAGATTGAGTTTTGGAACCTTATATCTATTTGTACCTAAATATTATTAAAAAGAAATGATTTTGGACATAAAACCTTTTTGTACGAAGGATTATGTTTAAAGGATAAAACTTCGCAATAAAGAGAAAAACTATTAATGAGTAACCTAAGACGTTTCAGGAGAAAATTTATATCTTTTCCCGAGTTAATAGTTGTGAATACATTTTATGGATTTAATAAATGTTTTAGTATCTACTAACACCTTAGGATATAGGAGTAAAAACAGCATTAATCACCACGCTTGGTCAAGGCGAATTGGCGGTTTCAAACTTATAATTGGATTAAAACTTATAATTAGACTTATTATAAATCCAGGTTTCACGACTTATTTAAATCACGACGTCTTCCTTCACCATCTGTCAGTGGTGTCTAAATACTCTTAGAAAGTACATATGACTGGACAAATCACATATATACTTGTCTGGTTTTGATCCCGCATCCTCATGTACGAGAGGAGGACTTTTTGCGGACCTTTAACCTTTACGCCAGCATTACTTATTTTTAATAATAAGTTAAAATATTTTGTTTCAGCTGTTATTCAATACCAGCGAACAACATGTCAGGAGGATCTCACGTGTCGCGAGGGACTTTCGGAGTTGACTCGGAAATGTCAGGAAGTAGTGCTGCTCCTCTGCCCAGCCCCGCTTCTCCTGGTGCTGCACTGGTGTCTCCTGAAACCCTCAGTAGACATAGCAGCCCGCCGCCCATACCAGCACACCCACAGCCAGCGCCATCCTGTTCATCGCATCGCGTTCACATGGAATCACCTATGAGGTATGGTAGAAATTAATCTAGAATTTGATTTATCCCTACTAATATAATAAATGCGAACGTAACTCTGTCTGTCTGTTACTCTTTCACCCCTAAACCACTGAACTGATTTTAATGAAATTTGGTACAGATATGGAGTTGACCTCGAGAAAAAACATAGGATAGTTTTTAATCCAGACTTTTGAAAGGTTCTCTTTGAAACGCGATATAACCGAACTCCACGCGGGCGAAGCTGTGGGCGGATAGCTAGTAGATATATAATTATAATTATTTAGCACGTTAAAATAAAGACATAGTTTAAATGAAACAATTATTTGGATTACTACGCGTATTTTAACTACATACTTTCGACGTTTCTGTTACTTTTCAGGAAGCAAAAAATATTAGTTTCATTTTCGCTCTTATATATCTGTATATATAAAAGTTGCGTTATTTACACTATTTATAACTCAAGAACGGCTGTATGGATAAGGTTGACAATTGGTGAAGAGAGAGATTAGAACATAAAAAGGATATAGGATATTTAATTCTGTTCTATTGAAGAAGAAAAAAAAACTTGATAAATTCCAATATCTGGTTACTTACGGCGTCTAGGGCGGAATAGAGTTCGCCCGGTCAGCTATACATATATTAGTAATTCCGAAATTAACTCGGACGAAGTCGCGGTCAAAAACTAGTAGAATATAAATGTTGAATCAATAATTCCTTTTGATAAATATATTATAAATATTTTATATATACACTTTATATCAAATATTATGCAGTATACTTCTTATTTCGCGATTTGCAAACTCAGTTCCTATCAATTCGTCTTTATGAATCACAAATACAGCTCAGGCAGGTGTACATAAGATTTCCATATCCAGGCAAAAGAAACTGAACTATGATAAATTATGGAGGTCTCATATTATTTCCATTCACTACAGAATGTGCGAGAAATTGAGAATATATAAAATTATGCTTATCTTTTGAGAAAAGCAAAGAAATGGCATAGGAATTATTTATTTGTAAGATACTCAGACTATGTAATTTTTCAAGATGTAAGCATTATCAATAAATATATCTTGACTTTATATACAAAAACTGTATCGTGTACAGTGAATATTTGAATTAAGTTATTGAATTTCTTTTAAATAATAATTTAATGAAATGTGGTTGCTAGAAGTATCGTTTTTCTGGGTAAAGTATACGATGGGGAAATTATACATATTAGAGTATATGTACATCTAACAGTATGCTACTGTGATTTTATAACTTTTGTTGTATGATACAAAAGATTTGAAAACATATAAAATACTCACTTGGTTGCAATCACAAAATAAGAAAATAAATATTATTTTTACATTCAAAGCTATGATATAAGATCATTGGAATTTAATGAGATCTAAGAATTTAAGAGAGATTTTGTGAAGATTTAAAACTCCCGACTGAAAAGTAGCCGCAACGTCGATAGTATGTATTTTTAACAAAAATAGAACATGCGTAGTATATCCGAAAAAATATTAGTTTCATTTAAATCATTAGAATTTGACGAGTAGACAAAATAGGCATAAATATTTACTAAATTCAGCTTAGTTCATTTACAAAATATTTCAACAAAATAAAAGCTAAGCTGTGGTAAATAAAACACTTGCTGATAATGCTAAAATTTCTGTCAAAACAAATATTATAATCTTTATAGAATATTAACGAAACTATGAACATGTTTATATTATAAATTTTATTTAAGCAATTTATATGAAGTATATTCAAAATATGTTATTAAAGATATTTAAAGCTCTAATCTAAACATTTCTATTTTAAAATATTACTTGAAGCAGCCTTGCTGGTACTGAGATTTATATAGAGAAGAATGTATAGAACAGTTGAAAATGCATTAAGAAAGTTTTATAGCATGTAAAAAATAGAAAATCAATTCCCAATAATAATAAATTGTTGATGAATGTGTTGAAAAGCGGATTCTAGGAATTTACTTTTATGAAAGCAGTTACATGTTTTATTAAGCGTTTAGCTGGCTCTGATAGTGATTGATAAAATATTTTTCAAATATAAATCTCATGATTTAATTTGGAAATATAACAATAAAAATATGGGTCATTCTTTAAAATAATTGTGAGGAAAGAAGAATAGTTACTTCTTTAAATTCTATTTGAATAGTCTATCAAGATATTGCTGTAAAATTATAGCCATAAATTCATTGAGGGACTTATTTAGTTAAAAATAAAAATTGAGTTCCCAATTCTCCTTTTTATTTTAACTATTTAAAAAACAGGTAAAATTGTATGAAAAAGCGATTCAATTTATGGCAATATATAACATTTTCCTTACCTGAATTTGATAGAAAATTAATTAGATATCATACAAAAAATAATTTGATATCACGAGTGCAAAAGAAAAATCGTTATCTTTCATTAATTCTGTTAAAAATTCAATAATATCGGCCCACTAACGCTCCAATGGAGTCGGGTTTTATACGAGATTTTCAGGGATAATGTCGTAACTCATGCCGGCTTTGTTGGCCGCAGGTTTTGTTTTGATGTCGGGATTTACTTGGGATGATGAACTTCCTCCACTGTATTAACAGTAAATTTATACGACCTGAAACATTTACGACAGGATTCAATTAATTTGAACATTTTTGCGTCAATAGAAAACTATATTTTAGGACTCATTTGGACTTATATATTTTAATTTGTAGTCTTTCTTTCTTGACCGATACAAAATGCTTTTAGTTTGTTTTTGAAAATAAGCATACGCATTTTATAAAACAACTCTTAGTGGTGGCATCTTTTAACAAGAAGAAAAAATTTATCAGATAGAGATCAGCCAGATTTTATTATATTTCTATTTGAAGAGATATCCGTAAATCTTACTACCCACTTCTGAGTTATGGGGTTATATTTGCTTAGGTTCATCCCATTTTGTAAGACGTTTAGGGTCGTGACTTAATCTATTATCGTTCAAATACATTTTATATCTTATCTCATATTATTATTATATATTATATTATATATTTTTATTTATTTCTTAAACATGTTTAGCAATACTTATAAATATAAGAGAGGAAACCTCTTAGCATTCAATGGATTCATTTTGCGGGTGCCAAATCCATTGCAGGAGAGGAGCTTCAACAGTGACTGGGACTTGTGACCCAGGTGTAGGTTTAAGGGGGGTTATATATTAAGATTCTTGCTTGTTTTTTTTAGTATGTATGTATGTAGTTTTCTCTCATTGTTCCAGAATATCAAGTCCACCATCAATGTCTCTTGGCACGTCTTTGTCGCTGCAACCGATGCTCTACCCTCAAGGGTCACAGCCACCTCTGCCTCCGACCAGACATCAGACTCGTTCTTCAGCCGCTATACAGAACATGCATGTTATTAGTGCGTGAGTATTCATTAAAGATTATCATTATTATCAAAAGATATAAAGATACATATAGATAGATAGATAGATAGATAAAAAAAAGATAAAGTCAGTGATGGCCTAGTGGTAAAAAAGGCTCGCCTCTCTTGTCGAGGGCGCGGGTTCGATCCTGGCCCGGGCAAGTACCAATGTGATTTTTCCGAATCATATGTACTTTCTAAAAAGTATTTAGACATCACTGATTAATGTTGATACCCAAAAGAGGGTTGATGTCAGGCAGTTGGCCGGTCGTAAAAACAAATAGCCAAAACTATTCACAACATGTAAGATAGACCCTGGCTATAGCTGGGAAATTGCCAGGTAGATAAAAAGATAGATAGATAAAAAGATATGTACATATCTTCCTAAATATTTTTTAGTTCATATACTCAGCATTTATTTCTTTTATTTTATTCCTCTTTCTCATCTTTTCCGTTAATATAAATCCCAGCTAATATTTTTTGCTCCTTACTATTTGTCCTTTTTATTTGATTTCCTAAAATGACTAGGTCAGCTCGAAGACATCTTAAATCAGATGCGAATAGATCCTTAATAATAATATTTTATTCGTTCATAATACATAATAAACATTGGATGTGCCTGTATATTTACGAGTAAGGGCCAGTGATTTAAGATCCTTTGTCTACCACACCATCTGTTTTGGCGGAATGCCAAAGAATTTTAGTTTCAGCAAACTACTAATGTCACCCTTACTAAATCCACTTAGATAAATTTGTTAGATCCCTATTTCTTATACATATTTCAACCTATATATTTTAATAAAATTATTTTTTATAATAATACTTTTATTTATTGTACACTATATTTATAGTAAATAAGTACAAAATAAGGTATTTTTTTAATTAAAAAATACTCGTATAAGGCGTTTTAATCGCCTTATAGCAATATCTTTTAGAGAACTTAATTGTATAGGATGAAAAATATTTTGTTTCATATATTGACATTATTGTTGTAGTATTTATATAAAAATGTATTCAGTTATTATATATATGTAGAATTAAAGTGCAAAATTTTGTTATTTGAACGACTTTTGCTAATTTAATTATAGAATAACAAAATATATGCGTTCATTTATTCAATAGCTAGCTATCCGCATATTGTATAGTTAGTAAAAGTAAAATTTTAATAAAAGCTGTGTTAACTTGTATAGATGAAGAGAAAAATGTCATTTCTTTGTTATCAGTTACATATATTTTGCTATCAATTAATATATAGATCCTTATATGATAATACAATCACTACGAGAACTTAGAGATGAGATGGAGGAACCAATTTACCGGGTCAATGTGCGCATAACTTTGTACCTCGCATCCAACTGTAAGTTATTTGCAGACTATCAGATATTACCTCTATAAAAACTTATCATGCGTTAAAGAATATTACTCGAGTTATTTAAGATCAAAGTTTTATTATTAATATTGTTTCGAATCAATAAATTTAGTTCCTCATCATCATTAAACTATCAGAGCCCACTGCTCAGCGAAGCCTCTTCTTACATTGAGAAGGTTTGAGCATTAAACACCACGCTTGCTCAAGACGGGTTGGCGATTTCAAACTTATAATTGGAAATTGTAAGTCCAGGTTTCCTCACGATGTTTTCCTTCAACTGTTAGTGGTGTCTGAATACTCTTATAAAGTACGTATGACTCGGAAAAATCACATTGGTACTTGCCAGATTATGAACCCGCAGCCTCATGCATAAGAAGCGGGGTTTAAAGCACTAGGCTACCACGACTTTTAATTAGTTTAGTTAATTTAGTTCCTATATGAATAAAACTGTACAAACATCATTAGGAAGTTATGTAACAGTATGGAAATTACATTCCCCTATAAATGCTCGTAACATAAATGCCTCCAGTTCCTAGTGACAATACAACACAATACAGTACTTGGAAATTACCAACTATACAAATCTTACTTCAACAATATGAACTGAAAACTTTGCTTATTATAAAAAGCATTGCTAGTATTTTCCAAGCGTCATTGTGATGTTCTATACAATATTTCAGTATGTGAAAACAAGTGACGTCAACTTCACAGTTTTATTCTTCAGTTGTGAAGCTCGCAGTTATATATTTAAACTGCTTTTGTATTCATTTCATTTATAATATTTTTCTTCGTTCCGTTCATAGTAGGAAGCAGGGTGCATATAATCTCGTTCAATCATTTTTATAGTCGTTATTAAAGAGGAATTTATCTTATTCGTGTAGAATGATCTACTCTTTCGCGAGTATCCATTTAAATAAAACTAATATTTTTGGTTTAACTACGCGTTTTTTATTAATTTAACTACAAATAATAAAAAAACGCGTAGTAAATCCGAAAATATTCGTTTTATAGTACAATCAGTTATGAATAGATAATTTAGATTGCTGTAATGTTTAAATATATCCGTTTTAAGATAATATAACAATTGCCTATAATTATTGGGTCATACTTTTTATGTATCCCCAAAATAATCGTAAATTAAACTGGATACATATCGCAAGTTATGTTTAACCAAATGTTCTAAGCAAGTTATTTTTGTAATAATCTTATATTTCTGCTGACCATACTCGTTTTATCATATATGCAAGATTTTTAAACCGACCGTGTTTAAAGAATTTAATACGTCATCGTTCCAATCACGTTTTAATTATATATCGGCGCTACCAGCTTTAATAACGGATGCGACTTGAAAATAATTTGAGGCTGTCATCAATTCTTATTAAACCTCATTAGTATTTATGATTATTGTTAAAAGTAAAACGAAATCAAAGGAGAATAGAACTATGTTTGAATCTTGTTATAAATATGACGTCTGGACGCACGACGGCGGACTCCAGAATTGAGACTCCAGAATTGATAATTCAGAGTTCAGTGAGTGTGTATCAATGAAGTAAGTTATTATGAAGAAACTGAGAAATACAGGAGCATTAAGAACAATTGAAGTTTTATTTTAAAATATCATGGACCGTACTAGAAGAAGTGACATCTGTAACGTCAGCGAGGCTGGCGTCTCTCTCTCTTATAAAGCAACGAATTTGTAATAAATCTGATATATATAAATTAGTTATAAAATATAATTTTGTTATTACCATTAAATTTATAAAATAAAGTTTTTGAGTATCAAAAATATGTTTTAATCCAAAAAAATATACGGAATTTGCGTATTTTCTATGTTATTTATTATTTATAGATTGTAATACATAAGTCGTCTTAATGAGAACAATGACCCTAAGTGTTTGTATCCCAGCTATTGTTTTACTGATTAATTGATTTTGTCTCTGAAAGGAAACTTTCTAATTCACTAACAAAGTTTGCCTGTTATCGCTTGTTCCTTTTATTTCGGAAGATTTATCGGATATTAAATTGGCTTTTTACGCCTGTATTTTTGTAAAAGTTTTCTTATTTTCGTCTCTCTTAATGAGCGAATATATTTTTGTTTTGAGATTAGATTTTTTTCAGATAAAAATATAAATATCTTAGACCAATACTAACAGATAATTTAATGAATATTTACTGCATTAGAATGATTATTAAAGATTGTATATTATGATTCCTATAGTATATTTTTTTAATTATAAATAGCTATAGGACTTCAAAATTTAGATTGCCATAAAGTTTCGGTCAAATTGGGGAGCGGAATCAAGTTTACATCATATCGGACAGGGCTGTGTGTATGTCTGTATATGTATATTTAGTTACAATAGCTGTGGGGAGCCAATAACACACCGTTTCCATGGCAACGGGGCATGCGAGAGGGGGCCCTTTTTCCCCGAGGGAACGTTAAGAGCCCCCAGAAACCAGACGAAAAGATACCTCAAGTTTGAAACATTTTTGAATAATACTTTTACTTCAGAATGACGAGTGACTATGCAAAGGGATCTTGTGCTATGGTCGTCTTTTATTTATAGCTGTTAGTGACTTGCTATGATATGCTTAGTCTACATGATATGAATTAAATTTGGTCATAGTTAAATGCTTGGCTAATTTAAAAGGTTCCTTGTATCAGTCCCTCTGATTGTTAATTCCTCTAGAACCCTCGATTGTTGTAAAAACGTGCTGAGAATATTTGACGTGTACACATTTGAAGACAACCCTTCGCCCCCAGGGCGACACAAGTGAACTCTTAATATTTTATACGCTAGTGAACGCTCAACAACATATTGTTCGTTACTTCTATGCCCCTTAGTTTCAAGGAAATGTCTCCCATTTAAAACGGGATGCTGTTATTGTTTTCAGTTCATAGAAAACTTTACGAAAGAAATATTTCCAAATAAACTCAGAGAGTTGGAATGAGTTGTAAAAATATTTGTATTAGTATTTTTATGTAGTTACAAGGGTATATTATACATATTTTTGTGTTAAATCTTTTAGTATAATTTACTAGTGAAATCTAACGAATTTATATTAGTTATTTGTAAACTATTTAAATAACTAAAATTATTTAAATAGTTTATAAATAAATTACTTGGAAAAAACTATCTGAAAACTGTCTGCGGGATTTCTTTAAATCTAAATTACTTAATCGCCATACCGCTATCGTAATTAACAATTTCTATCAAACCAATGAAATTATGACGTAAAATCACAATATCTATTGTAAAAGTTTAATTATCTTGTTAAATATTGTAAGTAATTTTGCTTCATCATGTACTAGATGAAGATAAACGCTGTAGCGGAGATTTAATCTAATTTTAGGCACCGGTTCGGCTTTAATAGGCTTTGGAGGTCAGAAGGCAATCTCGCTACAAGCCGAATCTACTTACGTTAATACAGAGAGGCCAATGAACACTACATTATAGGGGCAGAAGTTAACTAATTTTATATGTATCCCTACTAATATTATAAATGCGAAAGTAACTCTGTCGGTCTGTTACGCTTTTACGCATAAACCATTGAACTGATTTTAATGAAATTTGGTACAGAGATAGAGTCGACCTTGAGAAAGAACATAGGATAGTTTTTATCCCAGACTTTTGAAATATTCTCTTGGAAACGCGATATAACCGAACTCCACGCGGGCAAAGCTGCAGGCGGAAAGCTAGTTTTCAATAATTGACGATTTTTTTGTATTTTATGTAAAGAAAATATATTTTTTTTAATAAGACTGGCTTAGTGCTCTCCCTCTGCCTTCACTCCATCAAACATTAGCAATGGATAAAGGAAATCACGATAAAAGCCTATTCTAGTAACAGGAAGAGCGATGGAAACGATCTAATTAACTTTTAAAAGGTTTTCGCGATTGAATTAAGGTGCAACAGTTAGTCTAGATTAAGTTATCAATATTGTTGAATCGTCGGCAGGGGGAGGAGCGCCTTATGCGGGAGTGGGGGGAGGACCTGGCGGAGCAGCCGTACGGTAGACGTACAAGACGCAGCGCTTCGCCCGGTCCTAGAGCGTTGGATGAGGCGGAAACGCAAACCCCTCACTTTCCGTCTGACGCAGGTCTTAACCGGGCACGGGTGCTTTGGTTACTACCTGTGTCGGACGGCCAGGAGAGAGCCGGGAGAAGGCTGCCATGAGTGCGGCGCTGCGGTGGACTCGGCCCAGCACACCCTCGAGGTGTGCCCGAGATGGGCTGCGCAGCGCCAAGACCTTGTGGCGGCTCTCGGCGGAGTGGACCTGTCGCTTTCGAGTGTCGTGGAGAAGATGCTCGAGAGTGATGGGTCCTGGTTGGCGGTGTCCTCCTTCTGTGAGACGGTCATGTCCACGAAGGAGGCATCTCAGCGGGAAAGGGAGAGGGCGGCTGATGCTCCCTCCCCCCGCAGGCGACGTACGGGGGTGCGTCGGAGGCAATTCCTACGCCTCCAATAGCACCCCTGTGTTCCGGGCTGGGGTCGGCGTGGTAACCCGGCCCTTTTGAAAGCCCGGCGTCGTCGGGGTGGTCCTAATTGCCGGGATCGCCCCCATTCTCCGAGGGAGTAAGTCCGGTCTTTGCCAGGACCGGCCAGTCGCTGGTGTGCCCTGTCGCTGACAGATCCGGGGTACACCGACATAGCGGCCGATGGCTTTCGCAGTGGTTTTAGTGAGTAGGGGCCTGCCCAGGCCGAGCCTCACACATCCCTTCCGGCCCCACCAAGGCCGGTTGGACGGCTCGTAAAAAGAGTTTCCACTACGTCATCAAAAAAAAAAAAAAAAAAAAAAATCAATATTGTTGAATGATTTAACTGCTTCTCTCTTCAATTATCGTATTTAATTTCTTATCTTAGTAATGACTACGTCAAGTGGATGAAAATTCACATCCCGAAAACATCTTTACATTTCTTTGACGGGTACTCTTGATATTAATGACATGCCAGGTCAATTTTGAAGCACTCGAGTTATGGAAAACGAAGAAATAATGATCACTCATACTTTCTAAACATTCTAGAGAATTTTTTTAGGGAAAACTTTATCGTCTAATTCCATAAGCGTTGTCAATAAAAGTACTTTTATTTCAGGGTAACTTTGATGAATGAATAGGGATTATCTTATTTGCAAGAATGGAAGTCTAAATTGTTTTTATCTGATAATTGGATTAATTAAAACTTTCTTTCTCCATTCAATAGACATCATGAGTGTCTCTCCACTGTTTGATATTATGGTCGCCGAGTTTCAGAAGCACGTCCGCGTTCTTACGAGCTTTTATGTAAATTAATGTAACAGTTTTGAGATATTTTTTTATATTAAAAGACACGTCTACTGTACAAAATTTCAGAGTGATAAAATTTGAACCATCAAACATGACTATTAATTTGAATTATTTTTATATAATATATTAGTATGATAAAATAATGAGATCTAAGATTTACACAAGTTTTATTCATATTTCACATCTCATCTTAATGATTACGGTTGCTGAAAAGTAACCGAAACGTCGGGAGTATGTAGTTTTTACAAAAATAAAGCTAGCGTATATCCGAAAAATATTAGTTTCATTTAAAAGTACAATAAAAGTTTGATACTATATTTGTTTCTGTTTTGTTATCAGCGGAGACGCGCTTGCCACCACTTTGTCAGCTCTCTATGGTAAACTGCTGGTAGTTATGGGAGTGGCTTTCCCCATGGCTGAAGTCATCTCTACGTACATTCCACCATCATTTTATGAGGTAAGTAATATAAAATAATAAATTCTTTTCATAAGGAAAGAACAATCATAACTAGTTTCAGTTGAAATCGGAACTAATATGATTAGTTGCACTTCATCTGTGTTTTATAGTTCAGTTAGTCAGTGAAGTGATTTTATTTTTAACTTTATCTTAATCGTGAAATAATGAATAATATTTCTGTTTTAAATCAAGGTTTTATCAAGGCTTTGACTTTAGTAATAACGTGATTGACTAATACTTAAAAGTCTTCAAATTAACAAATATAATACAAAATTTTAAATACCACACATAAAGATTCTTTAAACAATCTTTATTACTTTCTAAGAAATAATATCTACATTAAATGAATATTGAATACAAATTGTACCTTATACATAAAATTTTCTTTGTTGTTAAAGCAAAATGTAAAAAAAATATAGGAATGATGAAATTTAGTACAGACATGTATCGTATTTTATAGTTCTAACAAAGAATACATCTATCCCGAGAGGATAATGATTCCCATAGGATGGATTTGTTTACAAATGCAAACATATCTATCTCTCAGGAAAGATATAAATCTCATTGAATTTATATCCACATACATGTTCCGCTTTAATTCTGTTTGTTTTAGAAACATTACTGCATATATGGCCGTATAATTCAGGCCTTTATTCTAGGTCGTGCAAGTCTTTAATCCAGGTGTTTTATTTCTCAGGAAATGAATATATCTTATTAAATATATATATATATATATATATATATATATATATATATATATATATATGTTCCTTCTTCAATTCTATTTGTTTTTAAAATATTACAGTACTAGCTTTCCGACCGCAGCTTCGCCCGCGTGGAGTTCGGTTATATCGCGTTTCCAAGAGAACCTTTCAAAAGTCTGGGATAAAAACTAGCCTATGTTCTTTCTCAAGGTCAATTCTATATATGTACCAAATTTCATTAAAACCAGTTCAGTGGTTTAGGCGTGAAAGCGTAACAGACAGACAGACAGAGTTACTTTCGCATTTATAATATTAGTAGGGATATGGCCGTGTAATCCAGGTTTTTATTCTGGAGCGTCCAGGTCTTTAGTCCAGGTGTTTCTTCCAGGGCTTCTACCTATATCTATACATCGGCAGCATGGTCTTCTTGCTGTATATGTACGCTGCCTTACTCCGGGACAGGTCCAGGTCAGCTGCGGATACAACTGTTGTTGCCAGTGAGTAGACCAAAATATAACTTGCATGTTAATAACTGATTTGTAACGTTAATAGAAGGAGATAAGGTTTGAAATGGTTTGGATTTATTTTATTTGGGGTCACGTAATGAAGTATTTTTGTGGCTTGTAGGGTGTTAGAATAAAGTTATTGGCTCATAAGTTTATTCATACATATATGTATGTATTATTTGTACATTGTAGGTATTCGGCTTTAGTTTTTGAGTATACAAGCGGAGCCCCTAAAATTCAATGATCATTTTGTTACAGATATGTATATGTTTTTGTCTAACTTTCTGAAGGGCATAGAAATTTAACAATTGATTTATTATGTATATTTCAGTCCTTTTTTTATTACACATATTATGATAGATTTATTAATTATTATAAAATATTCAGATATTAGAAATTTGATTTAAAGCCAATTATATTAAGTTCCATTGATTTCAGAGGGCAATTTATATTTAATAAAATGTTTTACAACTACAAGACTCATTAATAAATTAACATTTTGTTTGAAAAAATAGGGAATTTTCATTGATTTATTGCACTGTAGACATTCTAATATTTTAAATAATAATTTTGCTATTCAGGACAAATAAAATAAATACAAAACCATAGAAATTGGTTCAGCTATTCTTGTATTATAAATGGTGTATCATTTTCTTTCAAAATAATTTATTTTTCTGTTAAAATTTCGTCAAAATATAATAACTCTTTATAAATAAATAAAAAAAATTAAAAGTTTAAGTGAAGTTAGCTTGTCTTAAAATAAACAGTCTTTCTCATTATGCCTGCAATTCAGTTTGAGACTATTTACCGTCTGTTAAACTCAGTTTATTTAAGAGACGAGCAAAATAACAAATAACTCAGTGATTCAGTTTACAACTTCAATTATATTTACTCAATTTTATTATTATGTGACGTAAAATTCAACAAATACAGATTTATCTTCAAAATTACGATTTTTCAGATAAAGCGTAAATCTAAAAGTATTTCGAAGTTGAAAGAAGAAAAAAGTAATTTTTAAAAATATATTTTGTAGTTGAATATCAGGCAGCTTAACTGATAAACGTTTAGGAGACTCGATGTCTCTGTCTTAATTTATTATAATAATAATAATCCTGTAATCTCTAAGTCCTTTATAGCAAACGAAGGTTTTGGACTGTTTTGTTCCCAAGTCGTTTAGTATTCCAAAACTTTAAATGCGGGAGAAACTTGAGCTCACAGCCTAATGTAAAGCCGTATATTTCAGAAATAAACGCTTTCTTGTCTTAATTAATAAAGTTTTTATGTTTATACTATAGAATAAAAGCAGTTCATCAAACTAAGATTATATTTTGTATACTTGATACAAGAGATACATTTAGTTTTAAGAATTAAATGGCGTAAGCTTTATTTCGTGTTCAATAACAGTTAAAACAAAAAAAAAAATACAAAATTAAAAAAATATATGTATATTAAGGGTAAACAACCCTTATGACTTAGGGGGTTGAAAAATAGATGTTGGCCGATTCTCAGACCTACTCAATAGGCTCACAAAATTTCATCAAAATTGGTCCAGCCGTTTCGGAGGAGTTCTCTGTCTAACACCGCGAGACGAGAATTTTATATACATATAAGATTAAAGACAATCCTGGCCCTGGCAAGTACCAATGTGATTTTTCCGAGTCATATGTACTTTCTAAGAGTATGTAGACGTCATTGATTAATGCATTCCCAAAGAGGGTTGATGTCAGGCAGGCGGCCGGTCGTAAAAACAAATAGCCAAAACTATTCACAACATGTAAGGCAGGTCCTGGCTATAGCTGGGATATTGCCATTTAGAAGAAGGGAGTAAAGACAATATGGTTGGTTGGATTGAGAAATATAAATCCTATTTGACATAAGCTGTTTGAGACAGATTGTAATGGCGTGCGGCTTCTCCAGGCTTAAGATTTTCATTGCTTTACAATACCGCCGTCTGAAGCTTTAGTTGAAGTATACTGTTACCGTCTGAAACCTTTCCAATAAAATGTATAATCATAGTTTTATTTATATACGAGTATATTAATAACAAAAGATATATATATATATATATTCTTATCAACCATTTTAATTTGTTCAAACTTTTAGTTGTTCGTCATCGCGTATTTGTAATTGAAATGAATTCTTTTTATATTTAACTAGCTTTCCGCCCGCAGCTTCGCCCGCGTGGAGTTCGGTTATATCGCGTTTCCAAGAGAAATTTTCAAAAGTCTGGGATAAAACTATCCTATGTTCTTTCTCAAGGTCAACTCTATCTCTGTACCAAATTTCATTCAAATCAGTTCAGTGGTTTAGTCGTGAAAGCGTAACATACAGACAGAGAGAGTTATTTTCGCATTTATAATATTAATAGGGATTCTCAAAGAAAATTGTTTGAAAAAAACTTGAAATGTTTTTCCAATTATTATATTTTTTGTAATTGATTAAAATTTACAATCTACCGTAAATATTCGTCAGAAATAGCTATTAAACTATTGTATGATAACAATTTCTACATAAAGAGCCTACTTTTATATTCAGCATCTATTTTCTATGTATCCAGAGTCAGATTCAAGTTCATCTCAATCTGAATCTGAGACATCATCTCATTCTGAACCGACCGCCCCGCCGCAGCTCGCTGGGAAGAGGTTGTCACTGGGTTTCGCCCTCGCAACACGAACACATCATTACGGAAGCTTCTACTTAAGAATGGGGGCTGTTGGTGAGTTAACATGACTTATTTGACAAATTATGTTTATCCTTAGAGTAATTTTATTGAGTAGTATGTATAAATCAAATATGTTTTACTTAAAATGCGAAAAAGAAATTGAAATAGGGATCTAAGTGTTGATGATTGTACGTATGTTTGTAATTGTGTGATTATTTTTTTAAGCAGCAATAACAAGTTAGGATTTTTATATATGTATTCGTAATAATTGCGGTATTAAAAAAAATGTTATAGATTTTTCCAATACATTTAGTACTAGCTTCCCGCCCGCAGCTTCGCCCTCGTGGATTTCGGTTATATCGCGTTTCCAAGAGAATCTTTCAAAAGTCTGGGATAAAAACTATCCTTTATTCTTTCTCAAGGTCAATCTCTGTACCAAATTTCATTAAAATCAGTTCAGTGGTTTAGGTGTGAAAGCGTAACAAACAGACAGAAAGACAGAGTTACTTTCGCATTTATAACATTAGTAGGGATAAAGGAAAAAGAAAAGAATATACTGAAATATAAATAAGTCAAAACTTTTGTACTTTTCCATTGTTCAGAAATATCTAAACCTAGAGGAATGTTGTCCACGAAATTAAAGGACGAAGTTGAATGCAAAAAATATGAACTGGAAGTATGTTAGTAGTAACAATAACAAAGCCGGTATTATTTTCTATTATTTGTTATGTCCCGTTTTCATTACAGTTGGTATAACAACTAGGGCAAGTGGCCCTCAGGAGCTACGGACTATTTTCATTTAACCCGGGGCTGAACGAAAGAGCTAAAAAAGGACAAAATGCGATTCAACTCTACCATTCATCCTCTGAATACGTTTGCATGAATTAAACCAGTGACTTTTATTCACTGAAATTTTTAATGTTGGCAAAATCTTTATGTTAAATAATAAATTTTGTGGGCATAGATTTTAATTATGATTCACGATTATGGCTTACAAAATTTGAATTTTATTCCTGTTGAACTTGCCAAGCTAATATATCATAATAGTTAAATTATTTAGAAGTATTTTTCAAAGCCTTGAAAATTTATTAAACATATATTATGAAAGTAGTGTCGGAACTTTCTGAGCCTGTAACAGTCGGCACTTTTATCATAAAATCAATTTAATTTTTTCGTTTTTATTTAAATACTAGCTTCTGTCCTCGACTTCATCTGCCTTAGTTTCAGAATAAGAATTGTATAGCTGACCGGGCGAACTCTATTTCTCCTTAAAGACAGTATCTACTTATCTAAGAAGATTTTGGATTTGATGAACTTATTTTGTTCAATCGGATAAATAGTATCCTATGTCCTTTTCCTAGTTCTAAGCTATCTCTCCACCAATTTTCAACCACATCCCTACAGACGTTGTTAAGTTATAAATAGTGTAACTAACACGACTTTCTTTTATATGAAGATAATTTTGTTGACAGCCTTTGGCATCGGTTCCATGATTTACTCTGGATTGGAATTCGGTCAGTACTGGGAGTTGGAAAGGAATACTAATTGTCATAATGTTCTCCTCGCCCTGACTCCGGCTACCAGGATGGCATTCATCTTCATTCAGATGTACTTCATCTTTCTAAATAATGAAGTAAGTTTACCAGCTAAGCTAATCGCAACTTTAAGTTAGTTACAATACGTTTTATTTTAGTAAGTTTAATAATTTTAATGAGATTTAAGATTTTTGCGAGTACTCATTTAAATGAAACTAATATTTTCGGATTTTACTTCGCGTTTTATTTTTGACACAGACATCTCGTCTGCCCGTGATCACGATTGCTAAAAAGTAGCCGAAACGTCGGGAGTATGTTGTTTCTTATCAAAATAAAACGCAACGTAAAATCCGAAAATATTAGTTTTATTTAGTAATTTTAGTATTTAAGTAACGAAAAAAATTAAAAAATGTTTCGTTTTCGCATAAAACAAATTAATTTATGTCTAGATTGTGTTCATCAATCTTATTTCAAAGTGATTGTGGATTTTTAACATTTTTTTCCTTCTAAGCTCGTGAAACATTTATTCCATGATGAATAATAAATCATTCTTTTGACAAAGTTTGCGTTATTTTTTCAGATACTATATATACATATAAAGATGTTTTTAAAATCACAACAAATTTTGTGGAGATGAAGCTAATATTTTCGGTTTACTACGGGTTATTTTATTAGTAATACAAAAAAACTTAGTTTCATTTAAATGAACACTCGCGAAGTTCTTAGATCTCATTAATTTTGGTCAGAATTAAATGAATTTTACGTTTTTAACTTCAAAACTACATATAAAAATTTCAGATGAAAGTTTACAAACACAAAATAGTGGCCAGATTCGGCTTAATGCACATGGTTGGCACGAATCTTAGTGTTTGGTTGAACGTGCTGGTTCAAGAGACGAAACACGAGATATTGACTTTCTACGACCCTGAAAATAAGACTATCGGATTATCACATCGATTGGGTAAGTTCACCAACTAAAATAGGAGGTAACTCTTTGTGGTTAAGTAAAAATGTTTTTTTTTGATGTTTATACCTACCATCATTATTCCTCGCAAAAGTCTTGAAGTGCTTCTGTGTTGTCTTAATCTTTGTCTGAACTTGTCAATAGGATATCGTTGGGGGAAGGGACGAAATAAAACACGAAGTATATTTTCACATTTATAAACAACTACATAGGTTTCCGCCTGCAGCTTCGCCCGCGTATAAATGAAAATGAAAATGAAAAAATGTTTATTAACAAAAAAAACACAACATAGTACAAAGATATATCCTGTGGTACCCACACTAGGTATTCCTGTGTCGTGGGTACCAATTGAAAGATTTACAAACATGTTTAATGTTGTCGCTCGATACATTGCATAGTTTAAGTTAAAAGTTACAAGATAGAAATTATGATAGTGAAGAGGTGCTATACTACGTGCAAGAATAGTTCTTCGGTGGTATTGTAGTTTAACGAGGAGAGCCAAGAAATAATTTTTGTTTTGGCTTGTTTTATTGTATAGTTCGGTTATATCGCGTTTCCAAGAGAAACTTTTAAAAGTCTGATATAAAAACTATCCTATGTTCCTTCTCAAGGTTAACCATACCTCTGTACCAAATTTCATTAAAATCAGTTCAGTGGTTTAGCTGTGAAAGCGTAACAGACAGACAGACAGAGTTACTTTCGCATTTATAATATTAGTAGGGAAGATTATTAAGACGATTTTAAATTATTTTTTCATCATTTTACGACTAAAAGTATTAAACAGAATCTTATATTGCATTGAAATTTTATGAAATGATCAACATATTGCATTTTAAGATTGTTTTGGTCTTTGAGGTTATGTAACCCATGTAAAAAATACGACGCTTTTAAAAATACTAACCTCTCCTAATTCCTAATCACTGATGGACTAATAAAAGCAAAAACTCCAAGCAATAATTCCAAGCTTCGTTCAAATAGCGTTCAATCAAATATACGTTCGTCTCTCGTATGAGGGGATCTAAAAGAATTCAATTTAGGATATATATTGAACATACATCTCGTGATAAACGAAATACATCCGTCTTTGACTGAACCTTGCTATTGAGTGCCATGTACTTGTATTCGACATTCCATATTGTCGTTCTACAAAATGACATTGCTTCTCGCACTCGCATACTTTTAGGGACAATTTGATACTGATTTCTCATATATATGTATAATAATAAATTTATTTCCTTATACAACTCGCACTTGTGAAAGATTGTGTGCTATGCGACTATTTTTACTATTCATTATAAATTTTACAAAAATATATAAGAATCTTCTTCTACCCGGCAATTTCACAGCTTTAGACAGGGTCTGCATTACATGTTGTGAATAGTTTTGGCTAATTGTTTTTACGACCCGCCGCCTGCCTAACATCAACCCTCTTGGGGAATGCATTAATCACTGATGTCTAAATACTCTTAGAAAGTATATATTACTCGGAAAAATCACATTGGTACTTGCCAGGATCGAACCCGCGCCCTCGTGCATGAGAGGCGACCTTTTTAACAACTATGCGGCAACTGACTTACAAATATATATAAGAATATATATAACTATAGCTAATTATAACTCGATCGCTATATAACGTTACTTTTACATATTACATACGTATCAATTCCTTTGTTAGTTGGCGTATATACATATATTTACACGCGGAAGGGCCCTTATTACGCGCTACGCTGAGTGCAAGAAATGAGTCCCCTACAGGTTTTTATTTAGCAAAATGTCAACGAGAACAGAATTTCACAAACGGATAGACGCTAAATCTCTGTAATGATGTGTGATGTTGACATAAGAATCATTGAGCCTGCTTCAGTACATACGAATGTTGGAACGTGATTTAATTTATAATGAGATTTAGTTTGTTTAATTATACCTAATATAAACATAAAATCACGTGTAATAAATAGATTATTGAGGAGATTTAGTAAAAATAAAATTCATTTCTTTGTAGCGGACAAACAGAATTATAAATTTGCTTTTAAATAAAGTGTTTACAGACATTCGTAAACAAATTACGTTACTTAATGTTCCTAACCAAATAAAAAAACGTTTTTTTTTAAAACAAAACTTCAATTACAAGTACATTAAGATTAAATATAGATCTTGATATGTATCTTGTGTTTTAATTTACGACAATTGAGAATTCGAAGTATCTCACCAATTATTTTTGAATATTAGCTTTGATAAAGCAAGTAGGTACATTGACAGTAAGTTATTTGAAGGTACCATTTGAACTATTACTATAAAAATAGCATTAAATATAATCTAAACTTTCATGATTATGGAAAAAGAAATGATATCGATATAAATTTTCATAAAAAAGTTCCATATTTTGTACAAGGTAAAATGAAATAAAAGATATATATATATATATATATATATATATATATATATATATATATATATATATATATATATATATATATATATATCTATGTATATGTATCTTTACATAAAACATGTTCGTAGTTCCTATAAACCAGTTGGTTTTCCGTTTCATAAACCGTATAACCTAATTTTTTATGCACTACACGACCGCGCAATGCCTCCACGCGAGCCTCTTTGTTTCAATTTATGAACGCTTGACCCGGCCTTATTTACTTTATGTTACACGATAAATATATTATAACAGCCATAATGATTGTGTTACACGACATACATATCACCTATTTGACGACATATGAACATTTTAATGTCAAACATTGAATAAGAAAGAAAATAGCTAGAGAACTTGTATTATTTTCACTCAATAATTTTGATTCTTTCCAAAAGCATTCTCAAATATTAATGCTCAAACCTTCTCCATGTGACAAAGAGGCCTTTGCTAGGGGCTCTGATAGGCTGAAAAAAAGTCTCAAATTGGTTCATAAACTGATTATTGAATAAAAATGACGCTTGACAGTCAAAAATCTTACAAAGACAAAGGTTTGAAGATAAATCATATTAGTTTTAATACAAAGAATGAAATATCTAAATTATTTTATTGTCATATATATGTCATAATAAATGTATGTACAAGTCATATATGACATATATACTTGTATGTACAAGTATATACAAGTCATACTTCGATGTTCAGAATTCCTATAACGGCTGACCTCGGAAGGAATGATGACCTAAATTCAATTGCGGAAGAAACATTCGAGATATGTACCGTTGGAATTTCAACTATTATATGTAGATAAATTGTAGTTGAACTATTTCCTTTAATATATCGAATAGATAATAATATTCAATAGTTATTATTGAATTAATAGTTATATTTTTCATTAATAAAATGGAATGATCGTGACATGTTCAAACCCAAAGAGAATATAGAAATACTAGCTTTCCGCCCGCGGCTTCGCCCGCGTGGAATTCGCTTATATCGCGCTTCCAAGACAACTTTTCAATAGTCTGGGATAAAAACTATCCTATGTTCTTTCTCAAGGTCAACTCCATCTCAACTCAAAAAGACAGAATTACTTTCGCATTTATAATATTAGTAGGGATTTCTTCATTAAGTCTGTTCATTATCATGTTTTAAATTTTTTATATACAATTATGTTTATTGATTTGGTATTTTAGAATGTATTTTTTCTGTATAAATGATGTACGATTATTAATTATATACTTTTTCATTTCCAGCATTTCAAAAAGCCTTCGCTTCTCTATCAACTGAGGTCCCGCCTTCTCACCCCGCGGCTGCACATCTCAGAGTACCTCGCGGTTTGAAGGGACCTCATCATATCTTCGAATGCCGGCGAACTAACATAATGGGGTCCCTAGTACAAGACGCTTCCCCATTCCTTTTTCCATGCACCATCGAGTATTCACTGATATGTGCGGCAATACTTTATGTTATGTGGAAAAATATTTCCAAATATCCTTCCAAAGACGTCGCCGAAGCTATAGCCAAAGCGCGTATATTGGAAGGATTGGCATACAAGAAATCTCCGCATTTATACAGCGTGGACTGCGCTAGAGCTCATAAAGGTCTATTCTTCGGCATCTTGGTATTGGTTCTTACTATAATATCACTTATTCTATTTTTCGTTCTTATATCGAGGAGAGAATATGCGACTTTAGCTGTGGTTGAAGTAAATGTTTGTGAATTAGCGTTGTATGCTATGACTACATTCGCAAGTTTAGCTGGAATGGTATGCGTAAGGAATCTCAAATACGATGGAAATAGGAATTTGGAACTCGACAATATACTGCTAGTTGGAGCTCAGACTGGGATGTTCATTTACGGTACATTCACAATCATCGGTGGACATTTCACTATAGAAAAAAATACTATCCTAATCCTTATAACTGCTCTATCATCTTTGGTCCAAACTACATGTCAGACGATGTTTATTTTGGACGCTAGCAGACGATCAGCTAAAACTCCGGAACAATTACGCAAAAAGCCAGGCAGAGAAATAGTAACGTTTCTTCTAGTAACAAACTTAGCGATGTGGGCGATCAATACATTGGAGAAATCTCGAGCTGAATCACATCCAATACAATTGCATTTCTACGGTCTATGGGCTTGGACCATTATAACGCACGTTTCTATGCCGTTGGCTATATTTTATCGTTTCCATTCAACTGTCTGTCTGTGTGAAATATGGAAACGGGCATACAAGATGAAGCCAGCTTATATGTAGTATTGTGCCGAAGATAAAGAAATATTTTTAAAGTAGAACCGTGGCGTTATATTAGTGCCATACTTGTATAAGGATCATGTATATTCAATGCACACTTTTCCTTCTTATTCTCTCTGTAACAAATGCTACAGAGACTTTTGCTTGTATTTGTGTTAAAGTTGACTGCTGTAATGTTAAGTTATTTAGATATTTTAATGTGTTATTTATTTGTAGCTTTATTGATCGCTTTAACTATTATAATGAAATATGTTTATATGACACAGTATTTGTCAATGAGACGGGTCGGTTTGTATTACTTTTAGCGTTTTTTGATGTTATTTTTGGTTGTATTGTTATGTAGTGGAGCGTTAGTGTTCCTGTGTTCATCGTATAATCATGTTTAGATGATAGATTGCTTGGTATAGATATAGATATCTACATCTACATTCCATATACAGACATACAGAGATCATCTCCATCGCATAACTGAAATAAGCTTCAATGAAAGTGTCTTCCAATAGGTAATATTTTTTTAAACGTTCATAATTTACACTCACATCAACATATACTCAAATCCAAGCGAGTTTGCTTGTGTTCTTATCGTGAACTGAATTAAACAGTTTTTTGTAGAACTGGAATATTATAGTCAATAGTATATTATGTGTAAATTAATGGCCGAAAAGTTCTCGAATGGACACCACGGCTCGGAAAGCGCATTGGGTTCACGGTGGATGCATGCCACCTTCGACCGAAGCGTGGAAGTGGATTAGGCTTATGTCCACCAGTGGACCTAAAATGGCTAAAGCGTAAAATGGACACTTTGATTTTGTTTCATTAAAACTTTTGATAGACACAAGCAAAATATTTTCATTAGACATCGGGAACAATGATATCGACCTAATATTTTTTTGGAAGCCTTTATAAACAGTATTTGTATTTTAGCTCATACTTTACATAATGGAGTATAGTCTGATAGATGTTTTCTAGCTATATATTTTGCGATGTATATGTAGCTACAGTATTTTGGATATATTTACGAATCATTGATGGACCCAGTAGTACTAGCTAAGTAAACGTGACACCAAAGTTTTATATGTAGAACATTAATACATATGTAGTTTATATTTAATTTTAATATATTATATTTTGAACAAATTTTTATAATAATTTTAATTCGACACTTTCATAATAAATTAATTTCAGAGTCAATATTAACTAATCGTAATTTTGATATCTGATATTTTTCGTCTTTTTTTTACATTACGTTACGTACGTTACGTTACGTAACTTTTTTAAATCTTTATAATCTAACGACTACTCAATATATTATTGCTCAATTTACTGATGACAGTTTTATAGTACTCAATAGAGAATTTATAAAGTTTGAACAATAGATGTCGGTAGTTTTGGTATTATGTAAAGAAATGGATTATAATATGGACAATGTACCCTTACCCTTAGTAAGGGAATACAAAAAACCTTATTTTTTTAACCTACAACATTATATATTAATTTATAGAAGGTAGAGCCTAGCTGTAGTCATGTAACTACAGCTCGAACATGGGCTGGCTCGACGGTGGAAGTACCGCCCTCTCACAGAAGATCGGCGTGAAGTAGTCTTTAATGGTTGCGTTTCGTCCGATGAGTGAGAGAGCCGGTTGTCTTTTCCCTATTCCCTCCCTTTCCTGATATTTCCCTATTCTCACTCCTCATTTTTCCTCAACAATCAAGGTTGGCAACGCATCCTTAACACCTATTTTGAAGGTTCAATGTTAACTACCTTCCACCAAGTAGGCCGTCTGCTCATCTGCAACCTTTGACAAAAAAAATAGTATTATTTCTATATATATGTATTTGCAATATTAATTTTCCTCACTTTCAGTCTATATTATATTTATACGAAGATATTTCTGAATAGTGTTGGAGCATGATTGAAAATAAATTTTGTATCAGTCATATTTGGGAGATGATAAAAAGTAACTGTCTTACTTTGTATATTATAGAAGATTAAGTAATAACTTTAATGTATCTGAATACTCATAATATTTAATATATGTAAAACTGTAACTTGTAATGTTTGTAATTATTTTTCTATGAGATGTTCAGTTTTTTTCAGTTGCACCTACCTTAATAACTGTACTCGTTGAAATCAAGATATTGTTATTTTATTATTATTTATTTAAGAAAATTCTTTTACCTATAAGCCAATGTAAACTTTATTTCATTTATGTTAATATAGAAAAGATTGAGGCGGTTTTATTCGTTTAAATAAGAAATAACAAGGTCTGACAAAATAAGAAATAAAATCTAAGTTTTCGTCTTTTCTAATAATTTTTTATGTTTTTTTTTTTAAATGGAAAAATAGACGAGAAGATTTAAAAGAGATAAACAATTCGTAGAATAAATACTTGCTTTCAGAAATTATGTTATATTTTTAAGATTTCTTTATGTATCTATCTCAATATTTACAAAAATGAAAACTATTTGTAATTTTCTGTTCTTTTCAATGATCATTGTAATTATTTATGAACCGACAAATTTAAAGTGATAGTGATACTAGAGTAATTTGCTATTATATTTGTATACTATTTATTTTGTTTAGGTTATAATACTGTGAATAGAAAATAAGAGTAACACATTGGATGTTTATCGTTTACAAGCAAATAAACTTTCTTGAAACTATCGTACATTGTATTTTGTTCTTAAACTTACCTATTGAAACGAAATTATAATTATACTTTAGTTTTTTTGCTCAAATTCTTCTACCTGGCAATTTCCCAGCTTTAGTCAGGGTCTGCCTTATATGTGAATAGTTTTCGTTAATTGTTTTTACGACCGGCCGCAGCCTGACATCAACCCTCTTTTGGGAATGCATTAATCAGTGATGTCTAAATACTCTTTATTTAAGGGTATAAAACTGTAATAAGTTTTATTTAAGGGTATAAAACGGTTTTTCTCGATTACCGGAAAAAATAAACTCCTATGGAAAGAAGTCATAACGCTAAGTTATGGGTAATAAAAGAAACTAAACTATTGTATTCACACTTTTTTCACATCACCCCAAAATCTATTTGAAAAATTCAAAAAACCAAGAGATTAATTAAATAGTAATAAAAACAATAATTAAAGCAATTAGAATAATATAAAAATAAACAAATATCCCACCTCATTGAGTTACCTTGGAGTAATTAATGTTACAATAAAATCATAGATGTCACTAGCCATAAGTTACATCGCTTAAGCAAAATGTTTCACTTTTAATTGTTTGTTGGAATTTAAATAGTAATGGTGTCTTTTTCTAGACACTTCATACGAAAACATTTAGCTTTTACAATAATTTATTTCTTTTCATGAATTTGTTAAAAAACTTACATATTTATGAACCCAAATACGGTGTATTTGATTCGAAGTATATTTTTTTTCAGCTTATTTTCAATTATTATCGAAAAATCGCCCGTTAAAAAAATACAGTTTTTTCAAAATGTTGGAATGTTTTCTGTTCGTTGAAATCTAAAAAAAATATTTAAATAATACTATAAATATTAAAACTGGTATTACAATAGACATTTTGTACAATATTTATTTTGCATAACGACAAAAGAGTACTAATAAAAGTCGTTCGTATCTCGTTCTATTGACCTTATTACAGACGGTATTGGGTATCAATTGAAAAGGGTTGGTACATGCATCTTAGAACAACCATAGAAATATAATTAGATTGTATTATTACAATATATTTCCACGAATTATTAATAGACATTTAACTTAATTTTTATGAAATCATTTCTTTATTAGATGTAATGTTGACAATCCTATGTATTGTAACTGTTAAAGCCCTATTGTTGATGTGAATGCGTCGTCTACATTTAACCCAGTGAATCGTGTTATGATAATTTTGTCACGGCCATAACTCTTCTTCTACCTGGCAATTTCCCAGTTTTAGCCAGGGTCTGCCTTGCATGTTGTGAATAGTTTTGGCTAATTGTTTTGACGACTATCCGCTTGCCTGACATCAACTCTCTTTTCGGAATGCATTAATCAGTGATGTCTAAATACTCTCAGAAAGTACATATGACTCTGAAAAATCACATTGGTGCTTGCAAGGATCGAACCGCGCCCTCATGCATGAGAGGCGGGCCTTTTAACCACTAGGCCACCACTGACTTTTAACTGTCACGGTCATTACTAAATGTTTGTGTTCGTCTGCTATTTCATCACACCTTTCTTGTGTTGAAGCTTAAAGTACGTATTGAGATCGTTTTGAGACCAATCTTTTTAAACAACTTTCCAACTTATAGTCTTTTGACATACATTCTTTATTTATTCGTTTTTGGTTAGCGAATTCAAAGGCACTATACATTTTTAATATTAACTCTTTTTTGTTAATATAAAGTAACTGGTGACATTAGAATTACTACTCGGTATGTTCATAAGGTACAAGCCTTAATAGTTTTATTACGACATAAATATGATTATACATTTAATAAAAACAATATAAAATAATTGGATTTGTAAATATTAAATTTAATAATTTGAAGGATGCTATTATTTTAATGAAATATGTGTATAAAGATAATGAATAACAATTATTATTTACGAGAAAATCTTGCAACGCTTCATATAAGAAAGAGTTGGTTTATATTTCAGGATTTTTTTGTGATATTATTAATTTCGACTGTTTTTAATAAAACCATTGTTATGAGCAAAATGAATAATATTGCCGGAATACTATATAAATGCGGTTATATAGTAGAACCAAGAATTTTACAAACAACAGATGTAAAATGTACTGAAAAATTATTAATAATTAAATCATTATAACAATACAAATATTAGTATGAAAACTATATTTAAAGTAAATAATATAAAAATAGCTATAAATCATGAGACTTAATATAAAATTCTAATGTTTTTCTATATACAATCAGACGTTGAACGATCCGTCTTCATACGACAAAATGGCGATTGCTTAGAACTTCATAAATAATGCCATAAATTATTTAAGATAAAATACAACTATC